TTTATTGTTGTTGTCATATACCGAAGCAAAAGTGTATTGTTAAGTATTCTAAAAAGACGTCGCTCATTATTACGCTTGGGGGTCATACAGAGCTATTTCGAAATAGGTCTTAACTGCGTGTTAGGGAGTTGAAAAATATTGTAACCATATATTTAAAAAATGCCAAGTAACTATAAATAATTCACACCGAAGCCTGTATCAGGAAACATAAATGCAGCAACATTAATAATTTATTTGGACAGGATTTCCTGAATTCTGATTGGTGTTCTCAAGCTTTCATGACACACACTAAATTGAATCTGAAGTGCACCACATTTCATTTTCTCAAATTCAGTTGGAGATGCAAAATAAATAATTCCCTGTTGAATTTTAACTTACACTTTCCACTACTAGAAAATAATATAGAAACAGTAAATACCCAAAAATTATAATATCAATACTACCTCTATTTTCTGTTTTTTAAATTTTTATTTATCTATATTTGGCGGTTGCAATTTTTTATATTATTATATATAAGAATACATATTTATTGTGTATCGTGTTAATATCTGAATAACGCCACGCACCAGATTGATTTTTCACGTCGTAAAATGCTTTCTACTTCTCTAGTGTACGTAAGTAACGAAACGAAACGAAACTTGGAGAAAGTTATATAAGTCCTTCATGCCGTGAGCACCGATTATTGTGATTAGGTTTGTGGGGCGGACAAGAGGGGATGACCAATTAAGGCATACCTGTCGATGTGTCCTGACATTCCATGACTGCAGTTGTCACAGATTTCAAGGGGATCGGCTACTCCTCAGGACACCCTCAGGGAAAATTCTCTGCGAAAGAGAACTCCTGTTCGCCCTGTGACTGCAGCGTGAAGTGAGGCCATCAATTAGACCTGGTATCAGAGCACACGTGAGTACGAGGGAGCGAGCGACACACGGTCAAATGTGTTTGTTTCTTTTTTCCCCCTACGATGTTGATACTTTCTAATTTCCATAGGCACATTTTTCAAACTTACACGAGCGCCTAAAAAAAATGACATCTGCTTCTCCTCATAAAATAAGTCCTCTGTACTTTAAAATGTGCTGATCACAACAAGCGTCAACATGGGATAGATTGTGGGTGGTACTATTATCCCCTGAACTTCTAGATACGGATTCGAACCGAGTACCTGACTTCAACATTTGGTCTTTTAAAACAACAGTGGACTGAACGAAGGATCTGTGATGAGAAAACGTAAAAGTAAGTGGGGGGGGGGGGGGGGGCACTTAGTGTATGCAGTCTCCAATAGATGTCAGAAGCATACAGTCACCAGCGAAGCAAATATTTGCTGCTGGTTCGAATACTTAATCCAGTTATAAGCCTAAAAACTATCTGCCTCATTCACAATTTTTATTGAATCAGCAAGCAAATTGCCACAATCATCCTTTACCAAATTGGTCTGGGGTTCATATCCTTTCTTAAAGTTATTAATGCCTCTGTACAGGTCTCTGATATTTTTGCCTTATTATTTGTCTCAAGTTCAACAATTTTGCCCTTCAGGTATTCCCTTTTCTTATTCCTAAAGGTTCTACTAGCCTGACGTCTCACGTTACACAGATTATCCGCATTTGTTTTGTTTGGGTCCTGCAACCAATGAAATTTTGTTTGCTTCCTTCGATCTATTAATTTTGAACATTCTTCATCAAACCACGGTTTATTTTGCTTTCTCCTGTAGTATCCTAGTTTCTCTTTTGCTGAAATTTTGATGCAGTTTCTGACATTTTCCCACTCCCTGTTGATGTCCACACTTTCATTATCCTCATTTGCCTCTAAAATTTGAAACCTATTCGAAATTTCAACTTGATATTGTTCCTTTGCCTCTCCCTCACTTAATTTTTTCAAATCAAATCTTTCTGTGTCAAAATTTGTTTTAATTTGTCTACTTACTGAAAGCCGCTCCCTCACTTTTGCTACCACCAGATAATGATCAGTGTCGCAATCTGCTCCTCTGAATGATCTCACATCAATTACATTTGTCTGCCTTCTATTATCTACTAAAACATGATCTATTTGATTGTGTGTTCTGCCATCTGGAGAAGTCCAAGTGTATTTATGAACATCACGGTGTGGAAATTTTGTACTTTTTACAATTAAATCTTTTGACGTAGCAAAGGTCACTGCTCTGACGCCATTATCATTACTAAGTGCATGGAGACTCTCGCTGCCTATTGTGGGTTTGAAGACATCCTCCCTCCCAATTTTTGCATTGAAATCTCCTAGCAGAATTTTCATGTGATACTTGCCAAATGTATCAAATACTGATTCCAATTCTTCATAAAAGCTATCCTTGATATCATCGCTTTTGTCTTCAGTTGGGGCATGAACATTAAGGACAATGATGTCGCACCAACGTCCTTCCAAAATTACGTAAGACAACCTGTCACTAACAAATTCTACTCTCTTAACTGCTGCCCTAATTCTGCTATGAACAAAAAAACCCGTCCCTAGCTGATGATTGTCATTCCCCTTTCCATAGAAAAATGTAAAATTGTCCACTGGGATCGTCCCCTCCCCCTCCCATCGCACTTCCAATGTGTTCGTAACAGCGCTCTTTTTTGCGGTGAAAGGTTGTTAGCCTTACTCCCAACCCCCAAGCTGGAAGACCACCCCTCGACCGCTGTCCACGACTGCGTATGCAATATATTCACAGCTAACCTCCTTATCTGGTGGCCGTCCGTCTATCCGCAACCTGTCGACGCACCATGCGGTGGTAGGAAGGGTCCCCCACCAAACGTAGTGGATAAGTGAACTGCCGCGCCATATATTAGCGGAGGCATGAACTAATGTAAAGATACGTGAACTGCCCCTATTAACTAATGGACCCGCGAACATTACAGAACATCAGGCTTCAAGAAACAGACACCTTGGTTAGCTTCGATGTAGTCTCCCTGTTCACCAAAGTCCAACTGGAGGATACGCTGCAGCTTTTAACACAGCATCTCGAAAGCTCTACCTTAGCACTCATTAGGCATTTTTTCTCCACCACATATTTTATGTACAATGGCTCCTGCTACGAGCGAAAGGACAGAGTGGCCATGGGGTCGCCATTCTCACCAGTGATAGCCAACCTATACATGAGTCCTTTGAACAACAGGCTTTAAACTCGGCAACCAAGAAACCAGCACACTGGTACAGATATGTAGACGACACCTTTGTGGTTTGGGAGCATGGAACAGAAGAGCTCCAGAGTTTCCTCGGACAACAACAAGATATGTGGACCGCAAAAGAAAAGAGGCTGTCGAGATCAAGCTCCACCCAAGCAACTTCAACGGAGAATGAGGCTTCAAGCTTGGGAGATCATGGGATCCGGTAATCAACTTAATCCGGCAGAATAGGGCTCCAGCAGCAGAAAGACAACACCCCCGGCACGCCACACATTCAAAACTCCCCCACCAAACGCCTCTCGGTGATCTGCACGAGCCCTGGACATTTAAACCAGTTCGCGTTATGAGCCACAGTCAACAACAACCTTGAAAATGAGGACAGAAATGGTCCTCGAAACGTCGGTGATTAATCAACATTTAACACGGCTGATAGCCCGAGCAGACTTTATCAATGTTCTAACCCGTTTACCCCCTTTGGTATCCTGTAACCCGGATAGAAACACCGAAAACTCAAAGGTAGGTGACATGCTTCGCCCTCTATTGGCAAAGACATGAACTGATATAAAGATAAGTGAATTGCCGCGCCATCTGTTGGGAAGATATTAACTAATATTCCCGCGAACATTTTCTGTCCCGTTTACTTCCTTGAGTATTCTACAACTAGGATAGAAATACCGAAAACTCAACGCTAGGTGACCTGCTTCACCCTCTATTGGCGAAGACATGAAGTATGAAACTTTTCTAGTATATTCGTAATTATAATTCTACCTGCTTTCCCGTTTCAAATTGCATATTACTAACCGTATTCTCCCATTTGCATCTAATTTTATACAAGTATTTTATTATATCTTCATTCTACAGCATTAGTAGAATTTATTATTCTCTTATAAGCTACCGCTTCATTAATAACCGAGCCATTTTGTACTCAAAAATTGTTTCCTCCACGTCCTCGTTTCCGCATAGTAGAAAATGGCTTTGTTATTAATAACGAGGTGACTTATAAGAAAGTAATAAGGTGTAATTATGCTATAGAGTGGCCGCACACGCTCCAGCTTGTCGGAAGGCCTGCCTTCCAAGTTAAAGCTGGAAGATAAGCCTCAAACCTCTGAGAGTCCACACACGTACAGACTTTGTGGTAGGTTTGTGCTCAAGTATTTTTATTCTTCAGTCGATGCTACAGCACGTTCAGTGAGGACGATGCGATTTTAATCGGTCTGGCTGTTACTTTAATGTTGAAAAAGGAAAGAAAGTTGAAACGTTTTAAGTGGGTCAGAAGTTGGTTAGATGGATCAAAACATTCTCACATAAATTTGTTGAATGAAATTCGATTAGAGCCGACGGACCGGCATAACCACCTGCGAATGGATGAGGACACATATTTGGAACTGTTAAACTACGAGGATTTTAAGTTCTCGGTGGCTGATTGAAATGATTAAATGCTACAAGACTTGCCTTTACCTTCGTCTCTGCCCACACACGTTACGACTTGTAAACATTCAGTAAACCTCGAAGCAAGAAATCAAGCGACTGCAGATTTATCGGAGGCTCGGTTTCCGGCCAAACCCTCCGACCAAATTCACTACACACGCTCCGGTTTGCCTTCAGAGACGTAAGCTTTCCGGTAAGCCGGAGCGTGTGGCCACCCATAGAAAAAGACAGAAAAATATGTGTATAAAATTAGATGCAAATGGGAGAATACAGTTCATAATATAAAAGCTGTCTTGCTGCATGTCATATAGACTCTTTAAGGGGGAGAAAAGGTATAGAAAATTATTAATATGCAATTTTGGAATGGGAAAACGGTGTAGAATTACAGATATAAGAATAGACTGCATATTTTAGGGGAGTGCCACTGTTGAGAGTTAGGCGACAGCAATTCTTTGTGTAGAGAACTTGACTTAAAGAATATAGTCAGATTCTTAGCCTTTCACAGTGATAAATACAAAGCAAAACAATGATCCATCAAGCAAAGTAACGCAGATCGTTGAGATGGTTATGTTGGTATAATGTATGCATATTATATTGTGTACTGTGCGCAAGAACCTTCCGAGCAGAGGAAAAATGGACAGGGTGCAAGAGATAACGTTGTCGTCACTCTGTGATTCAGATTTTGTAAAGCCGTTTAGAATGAATTACACACAGGTATGTAAAGCATCAACTGCACTTCAAAGTGGATTAACCACTTTCACTGTGAAGCATATTTACGAGGTTATGTTCATATTGCATTTTGGAATATATACCCCCACCCTGTAAATGTTTGAACGTTCAGAAGTTTTGTGATGCTTGTTATGCAGTCATTTTGTTGCTAGTTTATTGAAGTTTTAAGTTAGATGTCAGATTCTTTCGGCGGCAACTATGAAGATGACTGTCCCAAGGAATGTAGCGCCCTAACGTAAGTAGAAATTGACCGACGTTTCAGAGGTGGTTACGGCCTCAGTCATCAGGACGATGGGATGCCCCACGGCAACATTTCAGCAGACAGTCATCTCCATGCAGTTGTAGTTCATAACCATTTTGATATCTGATCATTTACAAATGGTGGTTGCAAGTAATTCAGCTCCATTATCAACATCAGGTGTGCCCAATGTAAGGTGGAAGAAATGCTTTTGCCTGATGACTGATATTGGACAAGTTCATCAGTTCAGTTTGTTATTATTTTTAAATATGCCAAAATATTTGCTATTCAACATGAGACAAATTTATTTTTGTCTTTTACAGAATAGCATTCAAAAAATTTTAGACTTGACAAAAATATACAACATGTAAGGAGTACCACTATTTCTCGTGCATGTTAGCTTATGATCTTTTAATTCTTTACAGAATGGCATTGAAAAAATATGGGACTTGATAAAAATACATAACAGGTAGGGGATGACTTATTTCTCTTATATATCAACGAGTGAAGTTACTGAAATTAATTCCATACTTCTCTTACTTATTGGCAGGTGTAGTTACTGAAATTAATAGTTTAATTTGTTTTAATTTAGTAAGATGTAGTACCTATTTATAAATTTGTTGTGGGCCATTGTCTTAGATACAGACTTCACTGAGGATGCTTCACTCAGAACTTTGGCACTTTCATATGGTGCTGAGGAACTCAGAAAGTAAAATTCAGAATAATTGTTATTTCATTCCCTGTAATCTTTGACTTGAGCTTTTGAGATTTTTATATTACAAGTGTGAGAAGACCAACTTTTATATTATTCCATATCTACATTTAGGCCTCCCATGTGACATATTTCCTTTAGAGTTTCTGATAAATGTTGTATGCATAAGAAATTAATATTTGCAGATATGTCAAATTATTTAATTTGGAAATACTGTTAAAATTTGAATATTTATTAGATGGTTTAGAGATGCCTTAACCATTACCAACACATACATTGTATTATTTATTTATAGTTTATTAAACACTTTCTCAGTAGCTCAGAACATTATTCTAAGTACATTCAGTACACTATAATTAATTTGTCATAGAATGTCACTTATGAGATACAGTCATTATAGGAATTACATATAAATTCATGATTGTCATTAAGCAGTGTTATTTTAAGCATCTGCTAATTTTTCTCAGGGAAGAAGTGTTGGGTTAGCTTCAGTTAACTGCAGGCTTCATCCCATGAAAATTCTTTCATTATGCCCAGTGATTATCAAGTTTGCTGGATTCTAGAATTGACCTGTTCATGTTGATGGTTGGATGTCCTCTGCTAGAATAATCCATAATCATCTTATGCCAAGTCAGTTGCCTTAACCCGTTAAAGCCTAGTTGTAAGTATGTACATCACCTGCTTTTAATAATGAGTAACTGATGTAAGTAATATCTTAGACCAGTTATTAATAACTCTTTCCTTTCCAGTGTTTCCATTTTTATATACAACACTACAAGAAACGTATTGGTATTTGTAAAACAGTTTCGACCAGGTATGTTAAAAAGCATGTATTTTATGAGGTTGTTTCTTTAGTTGCTCATAATGTATGGTACTTGAAGGGAATGTGGCTAATCTAGGAAATATTACCAAGCCACTGTAATGCTTGTACTTCCACAGATTGTCAACAGAAATCAACACCATTAGGTTACAAATATTGGCCGAGCTGTTTTAATGAGACGGTTGCGAACTGTGTAGCATTACATGTTATCAGAAACGTGTTAAGTGTCAGGATAACAAAAGAAAACAATGTGCATCAGACTTTCAGAATATAAGTAATGTTTCATTAAATGTATTCATTTACTTAGAGCTTAATTTAAAGGGAAATTTATTTGCTTGTATACAATATGACCAGATTTTATGTAATTCTTTAGATCTTCTGCCAGAGGTGAAAATAAATATATGAAGTGCAGGTTATATGGCAGTCTTACCCAAAAACTATACCTGTTTATCATGAAAGATTATTTTGCTTAACACAAATAATTACTAACGGGATTAGATATCATGGAGAACCTGGAATAGATTTACAATGTTAACAAAATAAGAATATAGGTTAAAATTCCTCAGTTTGTAACAAAGATTTGTCACTTCACTTTAAATTAAAAATAAGAATTGTCCTTTTGATGCTTTCAAGTTAAAAACATAAAATAAACCATAATAGTGTTTTAAAACTTAATGTCTTCATTTTTTTGAATTGTTTGAATTTACATATCTTTTATTTTTCTGTGGATCTCATGATAAAAAGCAAAGGTCATAGTATTTTTGTAACTAAATGTGTCCTGTTGTGGGTGCATATATTGCATTTGTTCTAAAACTTTTTTTAACATTGTGAAAGAAATAGAGAAGCTTAGCATGGCCTTATTCCCTTCAAGTACGCTATCTTTACTTCTGCTTTCCTTTGTCTCCACAGCAGTGTATCTTGCCAGCATTCCTGAACATGATCGAGGGATGAAAATTGATACAAGTAAATATCCACCAGAAAGTGGAATTACTCTTGAGCTATGTGCTGGTATTGTGGACAAGGACTTACCTCTTGAAGAAATAGCAAGAACTGAGGTGCTGGAAGAATGTGGTTATGATGTTCCAGTCTCAAAATTTGAGAGAATTATTGCATATAGGTTACTATTGTTACTATTATTACTATTATAATGAATTGAATTGAATTATTAGTTCAGGAAACCTAGCTATAAAGCCAAAATTCATATTCACACTACATATATAATCACTTAATCATTTATAAAAATTGGCCAAAATATCTAAAAGCATGTCTAAGTTTAACAGATTCATACCAATCCTCATGAAACCACAGACATTTATATTTGCAAATAATATCATTATAAACTTCTTTTCAATGAAAAAACTTCCATATAAGGGAATCTCCTGTAAGTATTCATGATTTAAAAAACAAGGTATATATTATTGTTAATTTATCATAAACATAACACAAATGAATATAAACACCCTTTCCAACCAGGCTTTCACATTCATCCTCTTGAGAATATATGCACTTCATGTACATCTAACTAAACTAACTTCATGGAGCAGAGTTCTTCTTGGGAAGCTAATAGTATGCTCAGAGAGTCAAGAAATTCCCTGCCTCTTACAGGTGCATTACTTGATGCAGAAGAATGCTACCACCCCTTATCCTGAGCCAGATTAATCTGATTCACACCTTCCAATCCAGTTCCATTAAATATCATCTTCCCATCTATGCGTAGGTTTTCCAAGTGGTACTTTGCAGTCAAAATTTGTTGGTAATGTCTTGTCTCCCCCATGCACAATACTTACCCTGCCCATTTCCTCATCTTCTATTTGATCATCCTAATATCAAATCATTTCATAAACAAATGGAGAGTGAGATTTTAAAGTGGTTAAGAAATCATTTAATGGATTAATGAAATGTAAAATCATTCATCAATCAAGTAACAGTCCATGTTGATATTAAATGAGAATCATATGAATTGGTCAGAACTTTGCACTGTATTCTCATCGTATATGATGGTCACTAGAAATGTTGTGAGTCATGGAGTTGGTCTGGCAAGAGATATGTAACTTCCCGTTACAGTTCCCTGCTGTTAGGCCAATACATGTCATCAGCTCACTAATCCTAGTGTTGCAGGCGCTCATTAGATATCATGTAGTTGGATAAGTGTGTCTTTTTCATTTCATCAGTTTTGTTTGACTTGAATTGAGAAAGTGTCTCAAATTTGTGAGGCAGGCTTTTCAGGACATGCTCCATTATGCTCCAAATTTGTCTTGTAATTTTGTAACTGAGTAAAGGGTAGAATGTCTGAAGGATGAAAACAGCATGGACTACTGACCGCAAACTCAAACCCTGAAAAGATAAATAAAAATAGGAACTTCCTCATGTACCTTGAAATAAACGGCATAATTTCTTCCTGAGATGGTGCAGGAGGTAGAATGATGGAATGAATCCATTACAGAAACTGAAGAGTTGTTACTGTTAGATTCCCCATGTCTTAAAAATTTTCTGGTTGTCTAATATATATATAATCAGGTAGAATGTGTTACTAAGCAAGATTCCTTTTGTTTTGTAGGTCAGGAATAGGTGTCTCTGGAGATAAGCAAACCATCTTCTATACTGAAGTGACTGATAACATGAAAGTTGGAGAGGGTAAGGAAAACAAATTAAAATTGCTGATGGATTCTGTACACTTTATGATATCTATATAAATGCATCTGAAACATTTTAATTAATTTTTCAGGGGGTGGAAATCTAGAAGAAGGTGAGTTTATTGAGGTGGTAGAAATGACCATTCCAGAAGCAAAGAAGTATGTGGACAAAGGCACAGTACAGAGCCCTGGTGCATTTATTTTTGCCTTATTTTGGTTTTTCCAAAATAAGTGTACTTCATAATGTGCAATATATAATGTTAATTACTATAAGTATAATTGTATTTTGTACACAGAAAAGCAACACTACAACCATAACAACAGAAGACGCAACAAAGTACCTTGCTCAAGCAATCCCTAAAACCTTTCCAAATTAAAGTCTTTTGCCCATGACAACAAATGAAATTAAAAGTATAATAAATTCCCTGAAAAAAATTCATGTGGTTATGATGAAGCCAATAAACTCATTAAATTTTGACAAAACAAATTTCATGAAATTTTGTACAAACAACAGAACTTGTGTAAATCTAAATATAGGGTATGATGATAAAATAATCAAGGAAATAGAAACAACTAAATTTCTTGGCCTACAAATTGACAACAAATTAAACTGGAAAATGCATATTCAATACATTATCCCTAAACTAAGCTAAGCATGTTTTGCTATGAGGGCAGTTGCAGCACTCATGAAAACAGAAACTTTAAAATTAGTTTATTTTGCTTACTTCCATTCCATCATGTAATATGGAATAATTTTCTGGGAAAATTCAATGGACAGCAAAAAGTATTTTACATTCAAAAGAGGATCATTAGAATAATGGCAGGCACTAAAAGGACAGACTCTTGTAGGGGATTATTTAAGAAGTTTAATATTCTTCCACTACCCAGCGAATTCTTGCTCTCACTCTTTTGTAGTGGATAACATGGAAAACTTTCAAACAAATACAGATATCCACAATATAAGAACAAGATACAGATACAACCTTCATGTGCCAGTTCCTAACCTCAGTAAATATCAAAAAAGGAGTTTGCCATACTGGAATTAAGTTATTCAATAATCTTCCACCTGCTATAAAAAGTTTAAACCAGATATAAAAATGTTTAAGCCAGCGTTAAAAGAGTATCTCCTATCTCACTCCTACTTAGTAGAAGAATTTATAAATACATGTAAGAAATAATGGCGATGGTTCTCATAATTATTTTGCTGTGATACTGAGGTTCCAAAAATCTGTCAATAGCTGTTATAAATATGTATTTATATTTGTACTAGAAACAAGTATTGTTTTTGTGCTGTGACCTGTTCTACATCCTTGGCTAAGGCCTAAGAAGGATCTATGGAATGTAAATAAATTGTATTCTATTCAACTCCTGTGAGAAGATGATATTTTATTGACAGTGCTTAAAATAGGGTTATGTATCTAGTGTGAGAGTAGTTATAAAGCAGTAATGTAACTAGAGCTGTGTAATAGGAGGAATTTTAAAAATATTTTAGTTGTCTAAACATGGAGAACTATTATTTTCATAAAATATCATGTAATCTGTGTTGTAATGATAAGTTAATTTTCCTTTCATCGCCTAAAATGTTGATTTCTCTACCTGCATGTGTGTTCTTCATTCAGTCGTCGTCGTGTTATTATAATTATACTGTTTTACTTTTATTATTATAATGAATTTATTTATATTATATTTTATTCTATACTGTTGTCAAGCATTTAAATAATTGAATTATTATTATCCCATCTATTCACCACTTTATAGGGTATTTACTTCCATGTACCTGAGACAAACCTTGTCCCTAAGGTACATAGTGCAGCAGCTATTTCCAAAATACATTTTGTTATAATAGGTGTTACATGCATCATCATCCTTCTTTCTTTCAGGTAAATTTAGTTCCAACTTGATTTGTGGTTGGCTGTAGGTGAACTTTCATAGTTTATCAAATTTTTCTAACTTTGGGTGTGTGCTAGAACATGATGAAACCTCATGATTTGTAAAGTAAAATATTTATTATTAATAAAAGTAATGGTAGGTGAATTAATTCAGCTTTGATTGCCTCATTCAGTTCAGAATGTATTTTTGTGGATACTTCTTAACCTTGAGCCTACCAGCACATGGTAATATTTATATTGTCCAATTCTAGACAGACGGTGAACTCAGCCCTTCCCTACCCAAGGCATTAACGTCCTTGTTACCCTGAATCCTACACCTAGATAACAGGAAGTTAGACCAGGATTTATGACTTAAATCTCCGATCTAGGTAATTGTGAGTGGTCAGTTTCACGCTTCGACTAGTTGCACTTTCGGAGAAGAGCCACCGGTACCCAATCAGTGATGCCTAGAGTCGATCTGAGCGTTGTGGAGCACGTAAAAAATCCCCACCCTGCCGTAGGGTAAATTCCTTGGGTTTCAGCAATAGTCAGTCACTGTACTGACTTTACAGTAATTTGTGCTAACAGTTATCCGTTTGATTAAGAAGTGGTGGATAAGTTCTTGTTGTGTGTTTGCAAATATTACAGAATGATATAGGGAATATTTAATTTCATTTGTGACATCCCTGTTTGCGTGACGTCAGACATCGGCTTTGTCAGCTGTTGCGAATTATAGTTGTGCTTTGAGGCCATAGGAGGCTGATACAAGCAGAATTCTAGTCAAAAGTTATATTTCTTTGATTTTTATACGTATAGCAGCAAGTTTCTAGTCTAAAATAAACACGTGTGATATAGTAATATAATAAGACTTTATAATGCGCATTACCAGTGTCCTGTAAAATGGCTGAATCAAAGACAAGTGTTTCATTTGTGTGCCAAAGATGCCTACAGCCACTAAAACTCGATTCATCCTTCGGAAACTTGAGAGAACACACACTGGCAGAATTATCTCGTATGTTATAAAATATATTACACGCGTGAATGTAATCTTCCATGTTGTTTTTGTTGACAACACGATGTATCTATGTATATCCTTTCAGCTGTCCTATTAGAAATTTGTTTATGTCAATGTTTCTGTGATTTTTTCAGTACATTACTCCATTAAGCGCTACAATGCCAAAAATTCGGTTCTACCAATCACCTGATGTGTGAGAAGTGTTTAGTTTTAAAAAGATCAACAGACAATGTTTATAAACTTAAGGTTTCAAGCCTCAACATTGTTTTATATATATAGACATTGTGTGTTGTCAGTTTAAGAAACAAGGCGCTCACACACTAGCTGGATGTTCTCTATCTTCGAATTTCATGACTTTAATAACTCTTCTATATGGTGACCTATAATTAAGGACTTTTTCCCATGTTGCTGAGATTGCCCATAATTCTTGGACTTCCTGTAAGTGCATTTTTGCAAGGGATAGCAGCAGTAAGTTGAGACAGCAATACAAATTTTATCATTGTTAGTTACTGTTCCGTGTTTCATTCAGAATTACTAAACCTCAGCAGTTTATTATTATTATTATTATTATTTAGTGTTCTGTCTGACGACAGGTCCATATGAACAGGATCCTTCCATCCTTTTCTCGGACTGGGACCTGTTCATATACGTTCTTGGCAGATGATCCAGAAGTGGGTTGCCATTGCCTTCTTCTGTGTGTGAATAGAGTAATTGTTGGGATGCCACGGAGAAAAACTCCGTGTTGCCTAGACCACGGACTTGCCCAACACAAGTTATAAATTCGAACCCGAGACCCCAGGATTACAAGGCCAGCGTTCTAACCGCTAGACCACCGTGGCGGTTAAATCTCTGCAGTTGATACAACAGTAAAATTATTGACTGAACATAGAAGTGCTTATTTACTTTTCATGCTTCCAGTTCCAATTCATGCAGCACCAGAAGTCGACTTAGAATCACAGGCTGGCAGCTTGGACCGATATGTCCCAGCTTTCCGTTTGACTGAGTCTGGAAATGGTGCCAATGGCTTTATGCTAGTTGATGATGAAGGTGAAACCAAGAGCTTGAGTCATCACATAGGGGTGACTGCAAGTTTGTTTGATATCCTCTCAAGCAACTCACATGTGGACCATCCTTTGTGTGAAGAATGCACTGATGCATTACTGGACCTTATGGATCAGCAGCTGAAACTTACGGAAGATGAATGGAATGATTACAACCAATTTCTGAAGAGGTTGTGCTTATGAATATTTTGAAAAAGTATTGACTATCTGCTAACTATTGCAATCAACTTCTTATGATGCTGTTAAACTCTGTTTTGATCAAATATTATGATCAAGTAGTTAGTACTCCTGATTCATATTTTAGAGGTTTCTTGGTCCAGAGACTGACAATGCTGGCTGAGATTTTTCATGGGTTTTTTTTCAGTCCCTCCAGGCAAATGCTCTGATAGTGCCCTAAATCAAGCAATGACTTTCCTTGTATATCCTTTCCCATTCAGTATTCATTAATCGTCCTATCATTGAACACTAAATAGTCTGGTAAAATATTTCTGCAGTAATTGAAAAGTTAAAATGTTTCCCTTATTATGTCATTACTTTCACATTTATGTAGTATAGTAACATGAAAGATTTTATTTTCAGTTTAAGTTATATAAACCCAAGGAAGTCATAATTAATCTTTTGTTTGTGTTTCTTATTTTGCAGATTAGAGGCTGAAGACGAAGATCAGGGTATTGAGTCCTTGGAAAAAGAGTTGGGAGATGTGAGTTGGAGTATTTTTATTTAAAGTCTGTATTTATAGTTTTGACCCTCTTCCAGAATTCTGTTACATGGGTACATTCCCTTGTACAATTTACTGCTAATACTTTTGAATGGATGACTTTTAGATCATTGAAACAAAAATTTATTAATATTTTTTCAATTGTACAATTATTTTATGAAATGTTATATATGTAAGATTTGAGGTTTTCACAACAGTGAGTATGAAGATTTCTGTCTTCTGGGTTGTTGCGCTGTGTAGTCTGGTCGATGTTAACCAACGTTTCAGAGGTCATACTACCTCCGTCATCAGGGCGATGAGTATGAAGATTTCTGTCTTCTGGCTTGTTGCGCTGTGTAGTCTGGTCGATGTTAACCAACGTTTCAGAGGTCATACTGCCTCCGTCATCAGGGCGAGGCAGTATGGCCTCTGAAACGTTTGTTAACATCGACCAGACTACACAGCGCAACAACCCAGAAGAGAGAAATCTTCAAATGTTATGTATTCTGAAATAATGTCACAAACAGTATTTTATAAATCCTAGGAACAACAGTAACAACTATACAGCATTAATTGATTTTAAGAATGTTTTCTGGCAATCTTGAATTTATAACGATAGTAGACATCAGAGTAAAGTTTGTCCCACTATACGCCATGTAGGCGTTTGGGGTGAGAGGAGGTATAGCTCCTCTCTTCCTTGACCCCGGCACTAGTAGACATCACATGTTGCAGTATTTCTTGCATTCAAATAGGTTATGAATCATTAAGTTTTCAGTAAACAGATAACACAAATTAATAAGTAATTCAAAGACAGTTGAAATTAACCTGTTGACGCGGAAGTTTAAATACCCAGCATATACCGCTGTTGTGCTGTTCCGGCGGTAGTATTTTTTAAATGCCCGTTTAAATTTTGCTGTAAAATACGTTTTTTTCCATAACTTTTGAACTATATGAGATATA